CCCCAAAACCCCAAAACCCCAAAACCCCAAAACCCCGTATAAAAACAGCAATGCTGAAAATTAATATACCACAAATAGAAATGGAAACTGATGCTCATATGGAAGACACACCTGTAGTCGCTTGAATTGAGGAGACTTCATATAAAGAGAGTGATTCTAGCCATCAAAACTCTGCAATGCAAGATGTCGATCAAAATTCAACTTTATCACCTACCAAAATAACACCTAAATAAGGTTGTGCGGGTACTAAAGAAGACTCATACCGACAAAACAACAGCTAGGCAACCAAGAGACTCACAAAGATCAGGGGATAGTTCTATAAATGATCAAAAAGACTCGCCGAAAGGTAAACTATAGCTCTATTCAAATCCAGCAAGTTTCCTCAAGATATATTAAAATTTTAGCACCAAAATTTGAATTTTCGAAATAAATTTGACTTTAAGCCTAATAATATAGCCAATGAAGAGAGCTCTTTACACTCGAAAGACAGAAAGAGTACCATTTCCACTGAGAAAGTTGAAAAGTAATACTAAAACCGCTGTTTGGTCGATTTAAATTTTTGATTTTTCCTTCAAAATATAAAAATTTTGCCAAGAGGCTATATATCATCCTAATCCGTAGCTCTGAGTAGGATTTTGGCTTATAAATTTACAAGGCAATGCTTTTAAGTCATACCGTACTTATTCATAACTTAATCGCTTGATCTAATGTGAAAAGACTTAAACAAGAATTCTGACTTAGTTTACCAAAGTGCTTTCTTCATACCCTGTGAAGCTAAGTTTTGTATGTCATATTAGCTAGAAGGACTTCAGGATAAGCCAATACAAACCTTAGTTACTTTTAGATGAGCTTTCCCTAACGATCTCCCTTAGCAATAACATTGAATGTTCTCTGAATTTCCTACACAAAATTTTCACCTAAAATTTCCAGTAGTGATTCAAAAGTGAGCTCTGAGCCTCAGAAAGATATCATAAAAGAAGAAACGAAGGAACCGATATCTGAGAAGTATCTAACACTTCAATTCAGTCAGAATTTGTTGGATAGCTTAAAGAATTTAAACTCCACACTTGACAAGAAATACCACCAAGTTCACGAGATTAAAGAACACCTCGTCACTTTAGAGAACAACATTAACAAGCAGGTTGAGGAATTTTTGAAGGAGATGATCAGCACAAACAAGAGTCTTGAGCAGATGTTTCTGGATTCTTTGAGAGAAACCAAGCCTGAAAGTTTTATAGACAACTTATGCTTGAAATTACATAAGAGTTACCTCTTCGAGAACAATCAGAAGATCAACCTCACCTTCTACAGAGAGCTTAAGGTCATCAAAGACTATATCAACAGGCTCAAACTTGGTGAAAATAGCTTCCAAACTAAACAAATTGTCCAATTTTTGGGAATAGGCTCACTCCAGGAGATCCTAAAAGATTTCTCTCCTTTGGAGAAAAATTTAATTAAGAATCTCACAGACACAGAAAGAAAACCTTCTTGAGAAGGTTTAAATTTTAAAGATGAGAAAATTCCTCCCAAAACTTTAAGTTATGAAGATGATCAGTTTACTAAAAGTCTACAGAGGAGATTCAAGAGTCCAATTAAACAAAGCTCAAAGAAAAGATTTCCTCGTGACAGGATTCACTCTAGCTCTGTTTTTGAGAAGAGACTCAGACCAAAGGCTTTAGAGTTCCAGAATGGTTGCAATTTTGGCAAGAAGTTTAAAGAATCGGAAGATCAGAGCATAGATTCCGCTAACACTTTCACTGCTTTTAGGCAGAAAGGAGGGTCTATAGACAAGCCGGTTCTTCCTTTTGTGTCTGATGTCAAAATTGACTCAGAGACTATCACCCAGATGCTAATAGATAGGTTATCCAAGAACAATGGGCTTGAGCAACTTAATATATTAGGCAAGATTTTGCCAGACATTATTTCAGACAAGCCCAGATCATACTCACAACAACTGTAAGAAGCCGATCAAGGTCTTTATCTCATTCACTGGAATCCCAGGACTCTTAATATCAATATGAAGAGCCTAAATTTCTTAGAAACATAATTGTTCAGCCAAAAATTATAAGATTTTTGCCATTTTCAATCTTATTTGTCAAATTCGGGGTTTTGGGGTTTTGGGGTTTTGGGGTTTTGGGG